CACACACACACACACACACACACACACACACAAATAAATAAATAAAATTTATAAAAAAAAACACCAAGTTTTAGAAGAGCAAATAATTTTAACAGGCACTTCACAAAAGGATGTCAAAATGGCCAGTAAGCATATCAAAAGATACTATCATTATTCCTCTGAGAAATAGATATTAAAACCATAATGAGGTACCATTGTATACCTACTAGAATGAATAAACATTTAAAATCTGACAAGAGGCCAGACATAGTGACACATATTAGCACTCAGGAGGCTGAGGCAGGAGGATCACCCTGAGTTAAAGGCAGGCCAGCTTGTGCTACGAGTGAGTTCAAGGCTAGCCTGAACTGTGTAGTGGGACACTTTCTCACAAAATCTGACAAGCCCAAATATTGATGAATTTGTAGAGAACTAGAACTGAAGATATGTCAGGCTTCTAAAGGGAGTCAACCACTTCAGCAAACTATTAGGCAGTAAAGTGAAACGTGTCCACTCCCAATCCTGTAGTTACATACCTGGCATATATCCAGGAGAAGCTGGTACACAGGGTGTTCCCAAATGTTTCCTTATAATAGCTCCAAGCTGAAAATGACCCCAATGTTTATTGACAGTAGAATAGATAAATCATGTTATGTATATACAGTGGCGCACTGTTCAGCAACTTCAAAATAACCTATGGTGGATACATGCAGCAACATAATTGAACCTCATAAATGGCATAGTCAACTAATAAAACCAAATGTGAGGATTTAGCTCAGTGCCTCAGGCCCTGAGTTCAGTTCTCAGTACCACAAAAACAAATAATAAAAATAAAAAAGCCAGACTAAAGGGCCACAGACTGTCTGATGCATCTGCTGTCTGAGAATAGCAGACTAAGCAATGGTACGAGAAATCCGAATGGCACTTTCTCTGGTGGGTGACAATTGACCCAGAGGGGCTTGGGGACTCTGGAGCATTCGGCATGCTCTGCATCATGTCTAGGCAGAAGTCATATGTGTGCTGTGTGGGATCTGGACACACACTGTAGCTCAGGTGCATATTTTAGATCTCACTGAGAAAACAATCTGGAAAATTTGTCCCCAACAGAGCAGGAGTTTGCCTCTGGCCTGCAGCCAGCTTTACTTCAGTGCTACAGTCCCCTCTTCAGTCAGAGCATTCATTCTAAAAATCATGTGTGAGAGCAGGTGTGGTAGCCCACACCTGTAGTCCCAGCACTCGGGAAGCTGTGTCAGGAGCCTCACCACAAGTTTAAGAGCAACCTGAACTACATTACAAGTCCTTGTATCAAACATCAAAACCAAATAAAAAATATAGCACTGGCTTCTAAGTAGAGGACTATGGAATTAAGGGATGAAGAGACTGACATTTGTCCAAATGTACATAAAACTAGCCAAATAGGGAAGAAACATCTAGTGGAAGGACTAACTCCACGCATGAGGACTAGAGCCGAAGCATCCCTCCGGTTCACTGCTTTTTGGTCCCCTTGTTTTACTGAACTCTTCCTGAAGCTTTTTGTTGTGTCCCACTACACCATCCCTGCTTGCCATCCTGAGGCATATAGGAATTCTTTTCCTTTTGTGGAAATCTTAACTGCTATTGACTAAGAGGAATATTTTTTTTTATTTATAGGCTTGAATTCTTTTTTCAAATTGAATAATAAGCTATTAGACTTTAGCTATTTAGAAGGAAGACTGAACATTTTACCCTTGCAAGTATATAATGTCTCTCCCTCTCTCCTTCCTTCCTTCTTTCCTTTCTTCCTTCCTTCTTTTTTTCTTTCTTTAAGGGAACAAGGTATTGCTCTATTGTCCAGGCTGGACTTGAACTCCTGTGCTCCTGCAGTCCCTGTGCCTCAGCTTTCTGAGTAGCTGTATGCGCATTCCACCTAGCCCAGCATATTTTCTTAATCCCTTTAGTTTCAGATTCCTTTGAAGTTTCAGATTAAGAATTTTTGCCTCAAATAAATCTACAGTTAGGATCCCCCCCCCTTTTTTTAAGAAAAATGCTTTTCCACCTTTGTTTTTATTTGTTACTTAGTCATGTGAGATGTTCTGAAAACAGTGCTGAGAAGGATATTTTAATGTAATGGGAAGTAACATGGGTGGAGGAAAAAGAGAAATGTCCTATAATAGTGTTTCTTGAAGTTTTGGAAATTGGTTGATCCAAAAGTTGTTTTAACCTAAACCAACCTAGACCTTGAAAGACCAAATCTGCACATCAAGGACAAGTAACAAAGAAATTCTATAAGTGTGTTATTTGGGGATTTTCTTGTTTATTTATAATTCTTGGTCACCTTTTGGGCTGATCCCAGTATATCCAGTTTCTCTTTATTCCTGATTTGAGTGTCTCAATCAGTTTAGGATTGCTTATTGATACTTCTGGAATTGATAGAAATCTTCAGGAAAGTCAGAGAACACAGCTAAAGTTCGTGTCAGCTCTTCAGAGCTTCTTGTTGATTGACAGGAACTGAGTTTGATTTGTCATTTTCACATCAGAGTCTCCGTTCCATATGCTCATAGGCCAGAGCTGAAAAAGATCTTTCATTATTAATGTAACTTTTCTTAAAGAGCTTTCAACTAACTATAGTCCTTCTGACTTTGCAACCATGTTTTTTACACCTTACCTTACTTTCAAGAAAGGTTGGAATGTATCATTATCTGTACAATGTATCAGTATCTGTACAACACTGTGAAGTAAATTAATATGCTTGGAAATTGGAGCAGAAAAGATATTAAAGGAAATATAACAGCCAGCCACAAATTTGGCACCAAGCTGCCTACTTGCCAAAATCAAGAGGAAAGCCAAATGCAGAACAAAATTCACAAAGACCATCTAAAAAAATTATAAATTGGACTGTGTCAAAAGTTTAAAACTTTTAAGAGCCAAAAGTGGTGGCACGAGTGCCTCCCCCACCCCGCCCGCCGAGTAGGATTTTCTGCCGAGTTCCGGGAGCCCCCAGACCCAGTCCTAGCCCAGGTCCGGTGAGTGTGC